TGTGTCATTGCCCACACCCAGATGCGCCTGCTTCCTCTGCGCCAGAAGAAGGCCTACCTGATGGAGATCCAGGTGAACGGAGGCACCATGGCTGAGAAGCTGGACTGGGCCCGCGAGAGGCTCGAGCAGCAGGTACCTGTGAACCAAGTGTTTGGGCAAAATGAGATGATCGACGTCATCGGGGTGACCAAGGGCAAAGGCTACAAAGGGGTCACCAGTCGTTGGCACACCAAGAAGCTGCCCCGCAAAACCCACCGAGGCCTGCGCAAGGTGGCCTGTATTGGGGCATGGCATCCTGCTCGTGTGGCCTTCTCTGTGGCACGTGCTAGGCAGAAAGGCTACCATCACCTCACTGAGATCAACAAGAAGATCTATAAGATTGGCCAGGGCTGCCTTATCAAGGACGGCAAGCTGATCAAGAAAAATGCCTCCACTGACTATGACCTGTCTGACAAGAGCATCAACCCTCTGGGTGGTTTTGTCCACTATGGTGAAGTGACCAATGACTTTGTCATGCTGAAAGGCTGTGTGGTGGGAACCAAGAAGCGGGTGTTCACTCTCCGCAAGTCCTTGCTAGTGCAGACGAAGCGGAGGGCTCTGGAGAAGATTGACCTTAAGTTCATTGACACCACCTCCAAGTTTGGCCATGGCCGCTTCCAGACCATGGAAGAGAAGAAAGCATTCATGGGACCACTCAAGAAAGACTGAATTGTAAAGGAAGAAGGAGCTTAATGCCAGGAGCTGATTTTGCAGCTGGTGGGGTCTCAATAAAAGTTATTTTCCACTGGGGAAAAAAAAAAAGAAATATATGAAGCATCAAGCATGTGGCTGGCCCATGGGAGGCACCAACTGAGAGCCATTTGTATATAGATCTGCCATTAGATTATGTTTTAAAGTAATACTTCTGAAATTTAAATATGCATAGGAATCACCTGCAGATCTTGTTAGAACGCAGATTCTGATCCCACATATCTGGGTAGGACATGAGTGTCTGCATTTCTAACAAGCTCCCAGGTGACACCGCTGTTGCTGGTCCATGGACCACATTTTGTACAACAATATATCAAAACATTCTAAAATTTCGTTTTAGCCACTGGGTACAAGAGATCATACAATATTTTCCCTGGAAAATACTAGGTTTAATCTATGAGTTTAAGCATAGCCCAAACAGAAAAGGTGTAATTATAACCATGAGAACTGTTAGCCTTAAATGGAACATAACCCACTTGTGTTAATCATCACTAATACACTTAACTGCCTGGGGGTCCCAGGGCACAGGTATACAAGAAAGAAAGTGCAGAATGAAAAATATATAGGACAGATAAAGATTTCAGCATCACAGAAAATCTAAGAAAAGATAAAAATTGCAACATTATTAGGGAATGAGGAAACAGCAGAGCCCAAGGGACTATCACTAAGTAATTCATGACATGAATACAAAATTAATGTAATCTGCTTGAAGATATCTCCTAAGTACATTATGCAGGGTAGCGGTGTGAAAGACTGTACATGATGTTTATTATCTGTTGAAGGGAACAGAAACATATATGAAGATACTAAGCAGTAAAAATGTGGCTAAATCCTTCTCACTAATGGGAAAGTTTTTTCTAAATTTTATTAAATAAAAAATAAATAAAAATAAAAAAAATTTTAAAAGAGAATGCTCAAAACTCAGCAAGAAGAAGATAACCAATAAAGCAATGGGTGAAGGACTTGATGACACTTCACCAAAGAGGATATAAAATGATGCTCAGCATTAGTCATTAGAGAAGTGAAAATTAAAACCACAATGAAATACCACTACAAACTTATTATGATGGCTAAAATAAAATTTACAAAACTTAATAATACCAAGCCCTGGCAAGGGTGTAAAGTAACTACAACTTTCATACATTACTTATGGAAATGCAAAAATAGTACAGTAACTCTGGGGAAAAAAACAGTTTGGCAATTTCTTAAATACACATACACTTATGACTTGAGCAATCCCATTTGCTGGTATTTATCCTAGAGCAACAAAAGCTTATGTTCACACATAAACCTACATATGAATGTTTAGAGATGTATTATTCATAATTTCTAAAATCTGGGGGTAAAATACACACATTCAACAAATAAACTGTGAAATAGCCATACAATGGAATACCACTCAGCAATATAAAGCACTGATGCACATAACATAAATGCAATATGCTAAGTGAAAGAAGCTAGACTGAAAATGTTATATACTATATGACCCCATTTATATACGGCTTTCTGGAAAAGGCAAAAGTCGATGGATGGAGAACATATTAGTGGTTGCCAGGGGATAAGTATTGGGGAGCGAAGGAGAAGCACTAGGGAATCCTTTGGGTGTTGGAATTCTTCTGTATCCTATTTGTGATGGTGGATACAATAATCTGTGCATTATAGATATCAAACAAAGCAGATTTTATTGTATGTACATTTTTCAAATTAGTCTAATCATTTCACTTTTTAACACAAAGGCCACACTGTCTTCATAAAACCCAAAGCTGTTACAATGATCTAGGAGACCCTATGAACTGACCTCTTATTACCTCTCTGACCCCATCTTTTACTATACCCCTTTGATGATTATCCTCCAGCCACACTGACCTCTTGACTTATCTCGAACATGGAAAGGAATACTCTTGCCTCTGGCTGACTCTTTCACCAAATAGCTCCAGGCTTATTCAAGCTCTCAACCTTTTCAGGTCATTTCAAATGCTATCTTCTCAGTAAGGCTTTCCCTGAAAACCCATTCTAAATGCAATCAAACCCTTATACTCACTTTCTCTTCTACTTTGAGTTTCCCCTTGGCACATAAAGACATCAAAAGTATAGTAAGTTTTTGTTTCTTCCCATGGTAAGGTAAGGTCCGGTAAGACACGGATTTTGTTTACTATTTTTCTCACTCCAGTATTCCCAGAGCCTGAAAGAATGTCTGGCATATCTAGGCACTTAGTAAATATTTCCTGGATGGAAGATGCAAAATAAATGTTTGTGGAAAATCCTTTTTCTTCTGTATATAGGCTATGCTCTTTCTTGCTATTCCCTTATTTCTTCTAACTGAAAGGAACATGAACTGTGAGCATAAGGACAAAACCAATATAGTTAAGGACAGTAAATGGAAAGAACAAAGTAGAGAAAGCATAGGTCCCTGGTGGCATGAATGAACCACTACAGTAGCCCTATTCTGCATACCTCAGCCTTCTTGTTATATGATAAAGACAAGGCACTATTAATTAAACGGCATTGGTTCCTTAAAAATTATGTAAAAAGAAATCAAAATACAAATGACTTATCTTTCTGGGCACTTGGGTAAATTAAAACCCTGTGTAAAATAATCCTCCTATAGGTTTATCAATCCAGCTAGTTTTTGTCCATATCAGGATTTCTGATTCTTTTCTGAAAAATCTAAAGTTACCATACAGTAACATACAACTAAAGTCACACTAATTTGAGTGAAAATATTTATTTTGTTTCTTGGCTCAGGCCCTAAGGAAAAGCCTGTATCAGGTTACAAAGTACCCAACAGAGTCTTTAAAAGATTTACTGTGCAGACATCAAGAGACTAAACAAAAAGAGATTAAGGCTGCAGAATCAAAAGTGATATTTTACGCTTCATCTACTGTGACAAAGGGTATCACAGTCATGAAAGAGAAAACTCGTTACAGCGTGAGATAAAGCAAAATTATTAAATATCTCTCTTTCTAGTTCTGGCTCCCCAAATAATAAAGTTTTGAGCCCTTTAATAAGCTAGACTTCTCAGTTAAAAAGTAAATTTATCCCTGATTTTTACAGTGGTGCTGTCCCAGGATGTCTTGACCTTCGTGGACACTGTATTTCTCCACAATAAATAAACTTATGGGTATAATCATGTGTGGCTTAATGATGGGGATATGCTCTAAGAAATGCATGTTAGGTGATTTCATCATTGCGTGAATATCATAGAGTGTACCTACACAAACCTAGATGGTACAGCCTACTACACACCTAGGCTATACGTTATAGCTGATTGCTTCTAGGCTACAAATCTGAACAACATGTTACTGTACTCAATATTACAGGCAATTGTATTATTAACACAATTGTATTACTTAAATACACCAATACTTTTCTTTTTTTTTCTTTTTTTTTTTTTGAGACGGAGTCTCACTCTGTTGCCCAGGCTAGAGTGCAGTGGCATGATCTCTGCTCATTGCAAGCTCCGCCTCCCGGGTTAGCGCCATTCTCCTGCCTCAGCCTCCAGAGTAGTTGGGACTACAGGCGCCCGCCACTGCGCCCGGCCAATTTTTTGTATTTTTAGTAGAGACGGGGTTTCACTGTGGTCTCGATCTTCTGACCTCGTGATCCCCCTGTCTCGACCTCCCAAAGTGCTGGGATTACAGGCGTGAGCCACCACGCCCGGCCATAATACACCAATACTATTCTGTTAATAGTATTGATGTATTAAAACACATAAAAGGTACAGTAAAAACACAGTATTACAATCTTAAGGAATCACTATGTTATATGCACTGACTGAAAGATCCTTAGGTGGCATGTGACTATACTTGTGACTTTGGTAATTTTGTGGTAAATCAACAAATCAAGAAGCGAAATCAAAATAGGCAACATAATATACAGGATCCAAGAATATGATACGTGTAACTTTACAAAGGAAAACTGGAGACAAACTGGCAAAAATAAACATCTTCGGATTTTAGGGGTTCCTAACCCACAGGCTCTATCCACTAATGGGAAAAGGTAAAACCCAGGAAACCAGAGAGCAGCGCCCTGAAACCTGGCGGGACTGGCCCAATGTCAGATTAGCCCGAGCAGCTACACTAAACGCTGGGGAAGATGCACCAGAATACCGCAGTAGGAGCCAGATTTCCAAAGGAAGAAAGCTAGGCCCTAGGACTGTGGAGATTCTGTAGGAACCTAAGCGATGCTCACAAGAACAGAAGAATGGTTAATGAGAGGAACAAAAAGCTGTACAAGGAGGAGAAAGCTACCTTTCCACCCAATAACGCAACGCTGCGACCAAGAAAACCAGGGACGCGAGAGTCTCGCGTCATCCTGCAGCGCTGAGATCACAGACACCAGAAAGTGACGCCTCCGATGAGACTGCTGGAGGTCACGTGGTACATTGTGCACCACCTTTCCCTTCTGGCAGAAAAAGCCATAGAGTCAGGTTGACAAGGCTTGAGAGAAATATGTCTGTATTAAATAATTGTGTATAGGTATATAATAAAAAACTGATTGTCTCTAAGTCTCTGTTTTGCTTTCATCTTTTCTTACAAGTGTCTTAGTTTGGCATTGCCCACACAAAAGATGGCTGCACGGAAGCCGAGTCCTACCACGGAGTCTCAGGCCTAGAAGGGCCCGTGGGTGGGTTCTGTGGGCTGGGAACAGCCGTGTTACCCGGCTCAATATAGGAAGTTCAGGGCGGGACCAGCGATTGGTCATTCTGCGACTGCGCAAAGATGGTGGAAGAGGGGAACATCCGCGTGGTTCGTTGTGGCGGCAGCGAGTTGAACTTTAGGAGAGCTGTGTTCTCTGCAGATTCTAAGTATGAGGGGCACCGCGCTTTGTCGGCTGAGGGGCGGGGCGTGAGTTTCTCGAGGGTCGGGGAGAAGGAACTGTCAGTCGGGTTCGGACTCGCCAGCCTGGCGGATATGGGCTTTGGGTAGAGCACGCGCGTGTGGGGGATCCCCAGGGTACCCGGGAGGTCCGGTTAGCACTGCAGGTTGGGGTGCGCCCCCCGATTCCTGGACAGTTTACCTGCAGGTAGATTGAAAGGCCCTGGAGCCGGTCTCCGTGTCGAGGATCTGGAAGGTGCTCGGGCGGCTGGAAAATGGTCCATGCGTGGATGTGTATGCCACTACTTTTGCAGTACCTACTCTTTCGTACAGAATCATGTTTTGGAGTGACTAAAACCTAAAAATGTTAGGCTTTTTTTATCCACTCCTCACCCCTGAAGCATAGAGCATAGTGCAGTCTTTTTGGAACTTTGCGTGAAAACAGATGTTAGATCTTTATGAGGTAAAAAAATACGCTAAGACTTGGTCTCTTTTCTCAGTGTAGCTGGAAACCAAACCATTCCCTGGCTTCAAAATCCACTTATTACATTATGAAATCTTTGTAAGTTGTTTAATCTTTGCCTCAGTTGCCATCGTCTGTAAAAGGGGGATAATATTTAGTTCATCTCACACGGTTATTGGGAGGATCAAATGCCTCAATATGTTAAAACTACAGACAACAATGCCCAGCATATATCGGCTCAATGTATGTAGCTGTAATCATTATTTGTATTGTCAGGTTTTCAGATAACTTTAGGTAGAGTGACACTTAATAAAATCAAAAAACCCTTTCTGTCTTAGAAGAGTAGAGAGAGTATTTTATGAAAGTTTGTAGCCTCCACAATATTCTTTTTTTTTTTTTTTTTTTTGGATAGAGTCTCACTCTGTCACCCAAGCTGGAGTGCAGTGGCTCAATCTAGGCTCATTACAACCTCCGTCTCCCTGGTTCAAGCAATTCTAGTGCCTCAGCCTCCCGAGTAGCAAGTATTATAAGCGCGGGCCACGACGCCTGCTAAGTTTTGTATTTTTAGTAGAGAGAGGGTTTCGCCATGTTGGCCAGGCTGCCCTGGAACTCCTGGCCTCAAGTGATCTGTCCACCTGAACCTCCCGAAGTGCGGCGATTACAGTGAGCAACCGTGCCTGGCCCACCCCCACAATATTCTGCATATGAGTGTATGACAGGTAGTTGTTGAAGGCAATGCATGCATGACTGAAAGAGCTTTCATAAATTGCCTTCGAAGCCAAAAAAAAAAAAAATGAGTCCTTAGGCTTTGTTTACATTGATCTTATGAATCAAAGGAAGAAACAGACTTTTAGAGGCTCACACTCTGATACTTCAGACTCATATCCATGTAACCAGTTTCTTCAGTGTACTGTTTCTATACCTTATTCATTATAATGAGTTCCATTATGTGTTTCATTTGCTAAGCCCAACAATTCATTTTTTAAGTATTTGTCAACTATATATTATGTATAACATGCTGCAATGACAAAAACTAAGATAATTTTAATATTGATCCTGCCTTCGAGGAGTTTACAGTCTATTGAGGAAAAGGAATACTCAGTAACAGATTTTTCTTACTTTGGTCCTGTAGGAAGGAGCTCATAAGAAGAGATTACTTCCCAAACTAAGAAGGATGGAGAAGGTTGCTGAGCAAGTGACATTTGTGCTAGGCCTAGATGATATTTTAAGTGGGGAATATGGACAGAAGACATTTCAGGTGGGGAGGACAGTGTAAGCAAGAAAGACAGAAATGATATCTGTTGAACAGGCTGGTATAGTTAGCTAGTGAGAATGATCTATAAGGGAGATAGTGGGAAATGAGGTTGGAAAGGACACGTGCAGCCAGTTGTTGGTTGTTGTTTGGACCAAAGAGAATGGTTTTTTAATTCTTTAAGGGGACAGCAGTAATCAGTTGTAATTTGATTGTGTTTCTTCAATAATGTTAACCTGAAAACTGTAAAACTATGATACATGTTGGTGAGTGGAGAAATGAGAGCTGGGTAGGCTGGTGTACCCAAAGTACAGTGATGGCATAGAAGAGGGAGTTACATAGTCAGTTTTCCCTTCAGTAGTGGATCTTGCAGCAATGGCAAGAGTTTGCCTCGCCAGTGATACTGGGGGGTGGAATGCCAGGCAAACAAGCTTGAAATCTGGGGGCCTTGAAAACTGGAGGGATTGAGCCTTCTGTGTAAAGTCAGTGTAATTGCAGCATAGGGTATAAGAGATGGCAAGAACAGACTCTGAAAGAATAGAGACCAGGGGTTAGCCAGTGCTGGCATCCAAGCAAGAAATCACTCTTGCCCAAACTAAGGTAATATTGAACATGGAAAAAAGAGACAGAGTTTTAGAGTGATTTCACAGTCAGTGTTAATGGGAAGATAGAGTTCAGTTCAGGGTTATTAACTCTAAGGTACCTGTAAAACAACCGGATGGATATAGCTAGTAGTAGGTAGAAATTCAGGACTGAAGTTTGGGGAACTTGGTCAAGATTTAGAGGTTGTTTTTTTTTTCTTTTTTTTCTTTTTTTTTTGTCATTTATATATAAGCTGATAATTAAAACCATTTCTCGAACAAATGAACAGGATTATAATGAACTCAGCAAAAATTTGAATATTATCTACAAGGTACCACAATGGGTTGACTGCCTTATACAAAGAGGAATAATTTTGCATTTTACCTCAAGGTGCTTATCAAGAAAGCCAAAATCATAAAACGAGAGACTTGTGGAATTTTGGCAGCTTTCTCTTGAAACTGAAACAAAAACTCTGTTCTGGGTACTTGAGTGGGTTGTTCTGAGGGGCATGTGGGTATACATGTAAGTTCCTGGTGTTCTGTATTAGATATTACTGACTCACAGTCCACTTCTGTTTGCATCCCATTCTGCGGCATCCCCCAATTATATGGTGCTGTGAATTATTGCACTGGGGTTGTTAGGGTAGAGAAAACTGAAACAATGAGTCATCCTTGCCTTTCACTTTCCCAAACTACCCACAAGCTAATGTCCCAGACTCACTATTTTTCCCTTACAGATCATTCTGAGTATTGCTGCTGTAACAATTTTCCTAAGTTGTTACTGTTTATAACATTTTTACTCTAACTCTTATTCCTAGTCTTGCTCAGAACTTTGTAACAGTTTTTTGTTGCCTCCTTAACTATAGCTCCTCTATGTGGCTTTCATTCCCTTCTCTAATATAGCTCAACTCTTCTTACCCAACTGTTTCCTGATAGTACCCATTATAGACACTTTGCTTGTCAGATAAATACATTATCTGTGTCTTGTATATAATACTATTTCCTTGCTTTTGCTTATGTTGCTATTTTTTCTTCCCACCCCTTAAATCATACATTCTTCAGAGTCCAGTTTAAATCCTGGTTCTGACTTGAAATATCCCTAATTTCTTACTTCTTCACTTTCTCAACAAAATGAATCCTGTGTGACAGGTGTTGTGGTGGGTGCATTACACACCTTCCAGTCTACAAGGTTAAGGTATTATCCCTATTTAGTGAGTGCTTGCTGTGTATGCTAAGCTTGCATTTGCATGCATTGTTTCACTTAAACTCTATGAGAAAGTGTTATTTACATTTTACAATGGATAACTGTAAGTGGAGATGTGAAGTTTAAAGAGGTTAAGTAAATTCTCCAACATCATTCAGCTAATACATAATAAAGCTGGCATTCGAATCCATTTGTGTTTGACTTATTATTGTTTCTAATAAGTGAAAACACAGTGTCTCACCTCAAAGAACTCACAGTCTGGTAGAGGAGAAATATAGTACACAGTCTTAATGCCTTGTGGTAAGTTCAGTCATGGAGCTAAGCCCACCGTTGTGTAGAAGCACATTAGGACTGGTGCTGATCTAGAATGGGAAGATGAGGAAGGGCTTCCAGGAGAAAATTCTGAGGTGAATCTTAAAGCAGTAGTCAAGAGTTCTGAGAAATGGGAAAGACTGAAAAACTGTCACTGATTGGAAGGTTCTGAGAAGATATGACAACTAATGTGGTATGCTGGATTGGATTCTAGGAACATAAAAAAGACATTAATGGAAAAAGTGAAGAACTCATAAATTATATAGTTAATAGTCAGGTACCAATGTTAATATCTTAGTTTTGACTAATGTACTGTGCTTCTGTAAAGTGCTAACATTTGTGGAAGCTAGGTGAAGTGTATACAGGAACTCTGTAATTCTTCTGTAAATCTAAAATGATTTCAAAATTAAAAGTTGAAAACTAAAAAGCTTACTCTTAGGAAATAAAAAGAATAGTTAGAAAACGTGTTCTATATAGATATCAGAGAGTGCAAAATCATGGAAAGAAAGTTGACTTTGAAGGGTTGCACTTAAGTAATTGAAACCATTGTTCTTTGCTGAGAAACCAGAAGAGAAGACATTCCTTTTTTCTGAGGAAGCTTATCAGAAGCAATTAGGGAAAGTTTTCTTGGCCAGCAGTAGCCCCTACCCACCACTGTCTCAAGGAAGCCATATCTAAAGGACTTATTTCATATTGATAGGGTGTGTCTGGGGGATGGG